TTTTTTTTTTGAGATGGAGTCTCACTCCCTTGCCCAGGCTGAGGTACAGTGTGAGCCACTGTGCCTGGCTCAGAGCAGCCTTTCATTGAGGGCTGACTTAGCCCCCCTACTCTGACATGACCCTTCTGAGGACACTACTGAATGTTGCATGTTACAAGTTCTCTCCACTCTGGCTGGTGGTGACATGAATTATTTCCAGCCCTGTGGAAGCTCTGGGTATTATTAGATCTACTCCTTCTTGGTGATTTTTTTCCCTGGCCTCTTGAAGTTTCATTCCATAGAAGAGAAGATCAGTACTTAGCCAGAGACTCAGGGGGACCCCTCTGCTGATCTCTGGAGCTCTCACTCTCTGTGTAGTTCCCTCTTCTCTGATGTACGGTTTCTCTCAATTTGGGTGTGTGTGTTTTGTCACGATTGGATTGAAGTTATACATTTGAGGCAAGAAAACCACAGAAGTGACTTTGAGCCCTTATCCATTTGGATAATTTTACCTGCTTTTGGTGTTCTGCCTTGTTTTATTGCTGTTAAACTAAAAATTGTGTTTTCAGTGGACATCTTTTTTCATGTATTTTTCTAGATTCCAAAATGAACCTGAATGATTTCATCAGTATGGATCCCGAGGTAGGATGGGGCACTGTCTACACACTTTCTGAATTTACACATTGGTTTGGCAGTAAAAACTGCTGAAGTTGGCCTCACGATGTGGAACTGTGGAGAAGTTCTATGACATGAACCTGCTATTCCTCCATCGAGGACAGCAAACACTAGGGTAGCGTTGGCTTGGAATTATGTCTTTCTTTTTTTAATTTGATTGAGTGGAAACCTGAGTGAATACAAATATAAATGAACAACTTAAAAACTTTTGTTTTGATATGTTAAATTGAAACTTGATATAGCGTGTACTTGCTAAGATATTCCTGTGGCTTATTTGTTAAAACATGCGGACTTAAGCCAGTGATCATTTTTGTTCAGATAGAGGTGTGGAGGTTGAGCCAGCCCCTCAAATCTGTCTGGATGTTTTGTGTCTCTCCAACTACATTGTAAGCTCCTTGAGGGCAGACCCATGGTCCATTGCTTTGTGAATCTCAAATGCCCATAAAAGGTGCCCATAAAATGTTTTCTTTTTTTTTTTTTTTTTTNCTGATTCCTACCCTGTAGCTCCTCAGAGTCAGGGCTACACCTTGGAGGGGTCAGCATTTTTCTTTTTTTTTTTTTTTTAGGGAGACTCACAGACTAAAAATGTTTTCTTGAACATTTGAATGTGCTGTTTGGAAAGGGGTGATATTGTGAGCTGAATCAGCAATAAGTATTAGTCTTTTTGGACTATGGCATTGTTAAAAAGAGGGCAGCCCTCTCAGACTTGAGTGTTATTTGGCTTATTTATTTATGGCTTTAAATAAAATTGATTTAACATTGGTTTTGTTTTGAAGATTTTTGTGTCACCCTTGATGATCTGAAATACCTAAAAATGCCTCAATTGTAGATGAGAACCAGGGCTTTAAAATATATTTATCACATGTGCCTTCCTGAAGACATCTTGGTCATTTGGCTTTAATCATATTCCAGATAAAAGATATTTGGCATTATACTGGTGTATAGTACCAGCTCTCATGTTTTCATGATTCTGCTTTAAAAATGAACAGCTTCTTACAGCAAGGTTGTCTGACCTTTTGTTCTTAGATGAGCTTTCTATTTATTAAGAGACTGTCGGCTTGGTGTGGTGGCTCACGCCTGTAATCCCAGCACTTTGGGAGGCCAAGACAGGTGGATCACGAGGTCAGGAGTTCGAGACCAGCCTGGCCAACATGGTGAAACACTGTCTAAAAATACAAAAATTAGCTGGGCATGGTGGTGGGCACCTGTAAGCCCAGCTACTTGGGAGGCTGAGGCAAGAGAATCGCTTGAACCCGGGAGGTGCAGGTTGCAGTGAGCCAAGATTGCAACACTGCACTCCTGCCTGGGCAACAAGACTCCAACTCAAAAAAAAAAAAAGAATTTGTGGTGTTTCATGTGGGATTAGAGCCTCTTGTCCTTGCACAGACTGCTTCCTAAGTGTCCCACAGTTTTTGTGGAATTATTGCCCCTTCCAGAATGTTCACAAACCTGATGTTGGGATTCACTCAGGGTGGCTGGCAAAATATTAAGGGAAATACTAGGGAACAGTTATAGTATATAGTCTCTAACCTTTTGGAAGGCCAAAAGGTTTTAATGAGATGGGCTGAAGAGAGCCAGTTCTTATGTTAGAATATTCAGTCATAAGGTGTAAAGATTAAGATAACAGAAGCTTCCCCAGTTAAGTCTGTTTACCCCACATCCCTTTGTCTCTACTCTAGCTGTTTACTCATGTAAACTTTGTGCTGGTTGGTCCTCTCAGGAGGAGGTCATTAATGGTGTTTATTCGAGGCCCCAGAACCAAAAGCTTTTATTCATAAAACCACTTTTTAACCATGTTAATTATCCACAAGCGTGTTGACTTAGAACCTCTGTTATTAAATCTATACTGAATAAATGCTAAGAGAAACAAGGAGTCGTGGTCAGTTAGCCGCAGTCGCCCTCTGAAAGCAGTTGATGACCATCCCTAGCCCACTCAGCACTGTATTCTGTGTGTGTGAGTGCATTCATTCATCTGTCGCTAAGTCAAGGTCTGCAAGACAGACCTCCGCAGGTGGTGATCAGCGTCTCAGGTAGTGACCCTGACGTGATGCTCGTCACAACCTTGAACACAGATGTCTATCCAGTCCTGTTGTTTTGCATGAGCTTCAGGAACATTGTGGGAAAGAAGCCAAACAGTCTGTGATCCCATTTAGGGTTCAGACGTGTATAGGCTTGTCCCATGGGCTAGAGGTCCTCGAAGATCTCTTTGCTAGAGGACAGAAAAACTTGAACAGGTTCCTGAGAGAAAATCAATGTAAGTGAAGATGAACTCTGACTGAGAGGACCAGACTAGATGATTAGACACTAAGGATTTCTTGCTGGCAGGGGCAATGAGAGATATGCCGTGGTACACCCTTACCCCCACTCTCTTTCTCGAAAGCTCTGTCTCCTGGGAATGAACGAAAGAACTATGTCACTAGGGGACCCACATGGCTCTGTGGGAACTTTGTAAGTTGCTCCTGATTTTCCGTAGAAGAACAGTGGGCAGCAATGGCCTGACTCAGTCTGGTATTTTGGTGGTTGACAGCAGTACAGGCCATGACCAGAGGCTGGCTCAGCAGTGAAATAGAAGCGTGATGCCTGCAGGCTGTGGTTTGGATTCTCTGTGAGTCACCTTTTCATCAGGACTTTGAAAGAGAGAATAACTTACATAGGACTCTCAAACTGGTAGGGGCTTGGGTACATTCAGCATGTAGCAATTAACACTTTGATGATTTGCAGAAATTCTTCATGGAGGATGCTTATTTAAAAGAGCTGGAGGGCCAGGTGTGGTGGCTTATGCCTATAATCCCAGCACTTGGGAGGCTGAGGCAGGCAGATCACTTGAGGCCAGGAGTTCAAGACCTCTGCTGTTGCTGTATTACTGCCCTGGTGATTCAGCAGTGAATCCTGCACTCACAGATGTTACATTCTTGTGGAGAAGACAGACAATGAACTTCTACAGTGTGTGGAAGATTGATTGCTGTTTGCTGATTTGGGGAAGATTGTGGGTAGAGTAATTTTGGAGAGGAAGATCAGGAGTTTTATTGGGGGCATGTTAAATTTGAGGTGGCAGTTGGGTATCTAAGAGGAGCTGTCAAATAGGAGTTGGTAGCTGGGTGTGGTGGTATAAGCCTATAATCCCAGCGACTTAGGAGGCTGAGGCATGAGAATTGCTTGAACTCGGGAGGTAGAGGTTGTAGTGAGCCTGAGATCATGCCACTGCACTCCAGCCTGGGTGACAGGATGAGAGTCCATCTCGATCAATAGATAGACAGATAGATAGATAGATAGATAGTTAGATAGACATATGAGTTGGATAAAGGGGTCCGAGAGTCAGTGGAGAGGTCTAGGATGGGAGTATCAAATTGGGAGACATCCTTTAATAGATGGTATTTAAAGGTACAGGACTCTATGTTAGCATTGAGAGAATGTGTGTGGATAGAGGAAAGGTCCAGGGACCTAGCCTAAGGGAGCTTTTACATTTAGGGGTTAGGAGATGGGGAGGCATCAGTAAAAGGGACAGATGGAATGGTCATGAAGGAAGGAGGAGAAAACAAGGATGCCCAAAGGAGAAAGTGATATTATATGGGGAGAGGAATCAGCTATTGTCAGATGCTGCTGATCGGTTGAGGACTGAGATGACTATGGCTTTGGCAGTACAGAGGTGTTTGGGCAATTTCAGTGGAGTGATGGGGATGACAGCCTAATTGCAATGGGTTCAGGAGGGAATGGGAGGAGGGAAGTAGAGTGGTTTGGGAAGTGGGGCAGGAAAAGGGGGCAGTACTGCAGGGGGACGTAGGTCAGCAGGAGGACTGCTGTTTGTCTGGCCCTCAGCCGGTTCTTCCTTTATGAAGAATGCATTATCCATTTCTGCCCCTCCATGGAGACCTCCAGTGACATCAAAACCTGTCTGTCTCTAGGACCACTGTCTCTCAAGCAGGGACACACTCCTCAGTTCTCGCTCTGTAGGACACTCCCTTTGACTTGATCCACCCCTTGGTTCATGCAGCCCTTCTTCAGCATTGGCAGAGAGGAGAGAAAGCTGGATAACTTTCAGGGATATTTCATCCACGTCATGGGGAAGCCTCAGGCACCACCCCCAATAACTCTGCTTTTTTCCTTTTTACCTAGCCTGGCTCTCCGTCCCTGTGTGGTCTGGATTGCGGCTGCCTCTGTGATTCCTGCCTTACCACTCCTGGCCCATTTTCTGTCCTGCTTCTCTCATTAGGTTTCTGTTGGTGAGCAGGACAAGCTCATTCCTTCCTCAGGGACCTCACATTCTGTTTACCCTGATCTGACCCTTTTTTTTCCCCTTATCTTCTGTTGGCTGACACTTCCTGACGTTGAGGTCTGAGATTCAAGTCTGGTAATCCTTCCCTGATGACGTATCTAAAGCTGACTGCCCCGGTCAATGTCACAGTATCCTTTTTTCTTCATAGCAGTTATCATTAACTGAAATGATCTTGCACACTTATTTGTTTAAAAGTCTCTTTTCCTTTTTTTAAAGAGGGACTCTTGCTCTGTCACCCAGGCTGGAGTGTAGTGGCGTGATCTCGGCTAACTGCAGCCTCTGCCTCCTGGGTTCAAGCGATTCTCCTGTCTCAGCCTCCCAAGTAGCTGAGATGATAGCATGTGCCACCACACCTGGCTAATTTTTGTATTTTCAGTGGAGACAGAGTTTCTCCATGTTGGTCAGGCTGGTCTCAAACTCTCGACCTCAGGTGATCCTCCCGCCTCAGCCTCCCAAAGTGCTGGGATTACAGGGGTTAGCCACTGTGCCTGGCCAAGTCCTGTTCTTTGAATTTTTCCCTTTAACTAGATTCTGTTCCTTTTTTAGATTATCTTGCCCTTTTTCAAACAGGTTTTGTTTGCAGTCTTTTCAGCCTTAACTCCAGGCGCTACGCTTCCACCTTTTGGTCTGAAAAGCACACTATGAATGACTTCTGCAGAGAGCAAAGAATACCGTGGATTTATTTAATGAGTTCTCCTCGCACATTCTTGGCAGGCACCTCATTCCAGCCTCTTGTCACAAACACAGATGGAAAGCTCTGTGTCTTGCGTCTGATACTGAGAGCAGGAGCTCACAGTATACTTTTCTCCTTTCCTCCTAGCTGACCACGCAGCATAGCACCAGCGAATGAACTACCTCGTTTACCCTCGAAGTCCAGGGAGAATGTGGCTTTGGCCCTGAACTTCACAGCAGGTATC